GAGTCAGAAAGAATCAAATGCCGCCTGTGAAAGTTGCTCTCCTTTCTCAGCAAGTGCTTGCTTGCGTGAAGAGAGGCCCGGCCTTCCAACACAGGCATCCCCTGCTGCCGCTTCCATCGATAGCGCCCGACGACCTTCCAGTGCTTTTGCACAGCTGCAAAGGGAACAGCAGCAAAATATGCATGCTCACTCTTCCCCTCGACAATGTTGGTCGGGCCAGGCGATTGGAAATCCCCACTGCTGCTGTCGGCTGTATGCTGTAAGGGCCCAGCGTCATCAAACTTCCCAGCCACTGAAGCAGCAAAGGCAGATGCTCATGGTAACCTGACATCGCTCAGAGTGCTTCCCTAAGGCTCTGACCTCCTTGATGTCATACTCGGCGACGACTGCTCCCAACCCCCAGTTCGAAGCATCCACTGCCGTGACCTCGGATGACCAAGGAAGAGCGAGATCGCGCCAAATAAGAGGCCAATCCAAACCAGACTTCAAGCTCCCGGCGTACGGATCTCCATAGACGATGCTCTCGGTGGTACAACCTCCGTACGAAAGTATAGCACTCCCGGAACACCGCTAAAGTTTCTCTCCTATGACCCTATGAGCAATGAACGTCGCATGGCCCAGGACCTTCTCAAGCTGACGACCACTGCAAGACCCGAGTTCGAGGAGCCGACGCGTGGCAAGGATGACCCGCCACACTCTGTGCTGGAGCGGCCTCATCGTGGTACCATCAAATTGCCAGCCGAGCACTTTGATTTTTCCAACTGCTGTCTCCTCCTCATGCACGACCAGGCCTTTCGCCCTCAAAGCCTCCACACCAGCTGCCGATAACTCGAGAACCTTGGCCTGATCAGTGCCAAGGACGACGAAATTGTCGACGTATTCGAGATGCATGCAACCTGGAGGTGGGGCCGCGGCTTTATCCTGGAGGCAGTTAGAGGAAACCGTGCCAACCGTCGCAACGATGTGCTAATGGATGCTCTGGCACCAAAACAGTGCGTGGCTCCACCCCATGGGTAGCAGACACAGCCTTGGGTAGATGAAGTCCGCGGCCCCAACGCGTCGACCTCCCTGGAACTCCACCCCCAACACGCCCGCCCCCGGACACGCCGCATCCCAAAATACGGTCTAAGGGGCCTGTGGGGCAGCTCGAAGTGATAAAATGCGTCCTTCAAGTCGGCCGTCGCGATGTAGAGGAGGTCGCCCGACTCGGACTCGAGGTCGATACGGCTGAGCGCCTCAGCCGTACAGGTGGGCCTTTGCAGGAGCATCAAACCACTGGTTGCTCCTGCGGCAATGAACTACCAAGTTCAGTCGACCGTCCTTCTTTCCTACGAAAAAGACCTCAACGGCTTCTTTAGGGGGCACACGTGAAAGTTCCACCAACCCTGCGCCCAGAAGTCGGCGAATAAATTCCGCGTAGACCTGAGGACGCTTCAGCTGAGGATCACTATAACCCCTCTCCACCCCGCACTCCTTCAAACACTTGCGGGCTTCCATCTCCCCAAGGAGCCGAGACGCGATGAACTCGTCCACGACAGTCTGCCCTCCTTCTCCCAGCAGGTTCGAGAGGTACCGGTTTGACGCTCCCATCGGGCAGACTCAGGAGACCAGGGTCATAGGACTTGACAGCTGAAGGGGTCTGGTCCTCCCCATAGCCGGCAAAAGCTCGCAGCTGGAGCGCTCCTGGGCCATCGAGTCCCTCTGCCCAACCTGCTACCGGAGAAGTTTTCAGGAGACGACCCGAGGGGTACAGGCAACGGAAAATTTCCCGAGGCACTGGCAGCCTCGAGTCAGTATAGATCGGGGCTAATCCCTGCTGAGTGGCCGGCCCCACGACCACGCAGCGACCCCACATCTAGGGGTCCTCCTTCTGGCTCTTCTCGTGGTCCAGCAAGCTGGGTGCGATCATCAACGTCCCGGCCTGCCTCACTAGAGAGCCGAAGGTGTACTGCTCCTCCAAACTCAGCTTGCCAACGTAACTCTTGCCCTCCAGCTCGAGCATATTCGATTGTCTGGAGCCTCCTGAACAAAAGCTCAACGCCATAACAGTTGCAAGCGTCAACTTGGTCTACTTGCACCAGCTGCCACAGCACCATAGACATCTGGAAGTGTTCTTGAATGCCTCAGGCAGACGAATCGATCTTACACAACTGGCGGAACCGTTCGTGGTGAGCTTCAAAGCCAAGTCCTTCAACGGACAGGTAGGTGAGACACCAGAGGGTGGTTCTCGGACCTGTGATTTTCCATCCCATACAGTATCTACCTCGCGGCACAGACTGACGACTTCGGACAAAGGTCCTTCGGGATGGCCAAGCGGGTTGAACTTCACCTCGAGAATCCTCCCATCACAGGCCGAAGGCCTCTGATTGAATGCCAGAGCACTGCCAGCAGTCACACACACATGCAGAGAGCTGCCGTCGGCCAGCACATGCACACACTTCGCCCCGTCCACGGCAGCCGCAGCGACCCCGACAATCTCCTCGCCATAGCGGAATCCTCCGGCGGCCTCCGCCGCGACCCAGATTGGCCCGCGACCTTCAAGACCTCGAGCCCGGGAGCAACATCAAAGCCACCAGGAGATGCCCCGGCAACGGGAGCTGCCACTGGCCCTCCAACTACCGCTGGAGCAGCAGGGGAAGCAGAAGCGACGGCAGCGTCACCGGATTCTCTGCCACAGCCCCATCAGCGGCGACCATAGACCGACCCCTGTCGCACGACGGGCCCTCTCAGCCGAGAGTTCGCGACGACCCTCGGCCATCAACCTGGCATATTCTGCTGCCATAGGCTGAAATGAAGACACTTGGGCTGGAGGCACACCTCGAGGAACTCGGCCGTCGGGGGAGTGCCACATGTGAGCAAAATCCGGGTTAGCAGGATCTAACAGCTCCACATACATGTCTCGGTCTGGAGTGCAAATCAGCCATTCATCGTCGCCATCCACCTCACCGATGAGCAGTCTCGTATGCACCACTCCCCGATCCCCGTGGTACCTCACATAGACAATCTCTCCTTCGTTGAAGACGGCCATCACTGATCAAGGATCTGCAGCCCCTGCACAGAACCGTACTGCCCTTTCCCTTGGCCTGGCGCCACACGGGATCGTGAGGCAGTCAACTCAAGAGTGCTTCAAGCGCCCCTCTGCACAACCACAACTCGAAGTACCAGCCCAAGGCCGGCCAGGACAGGACTAGAGGTAACAGCACAGCTGATGCACCCAATCGTAGTCACCTGTCACCTCCTCGTTCGGAGCACGCGCAATGGCACTGACAAGGTTGAGGCTCTGGCGGCTCCGGACCTCTCCGCAGCCATGGGCCTGCAGTCAAGCCTAGAAGAGCCAGGACGCCATGCAAGCTATCCATACCCTTTGAAGCTTGATGGGAAAATAGTGACATTCACAGCGGCCTGAGTCTCCGCTCTGCACACGCAAGCACGTTCAGCGAACTACAATGCTTTTCCCAAAGTACTGGCTCGTGTTGGGAGCAACCGTGCTTCCCGCCTTAACTTGCAAGATCCACCGGAACACCCGAAATCGCTTCCACCAAGTACTACTACGATCCAGGTTTTCGAGAGCAAACAGTCCGTGTCGTATTGTTTGCAATGAAGGGGCACCCGTATCACGCAGAGCAGAATCCTCTGCAAATCACAGGATGTCAGCGAAAACTACACCGCACCACGACGGGAGACACGTGCCACGAGCATCCTGTGTAAATAGTACGAGTAGGATGCAGGGACTCGATTTGCCGCATCTGCCGTAACAAACAACGGGTGCGGGGAGCAACACGCAGGAAAGCAACCAAGTCTCTTTACACTTAACGGAAGGACCCCATGATGTTAGCACACTGCTTGGGGAATATGAGGCATTCGGAGGATGCTTAGGCACGAGCACTCTCTCGAAAACACATGCACGGGTTCTCGAACTCCAAGATGGTGAACCTACACGTACGATACAGCGCGGCTTTTGGCAGCTCAGCTAGAGTGCTTCTCCAAGAGGTAGAGCGGGTTGAGAATTGCTGCCTGTAAAGGAGCTCCATAGATGCTATCGACACACCCGCTCAGTGCCGAGGTTTCAATCGAAATCTTAGCACGGGAAGTTCACGCATGATGTCACGCATGTCTCGGCATCTTGCCGTAGTCAGTGCACGTCTGAATGCACGTAAGTATGCGCGACACGTAGGATGATTCATGTGTACGTCTGCCTCTAGCCATACACATGCACGCACGCGGATGTATGTACGGATGTGTGTGTGTACACACACACATGAAAGCCGCAGGCATGCATGTATCTCTACTTGTATGTCTGTGTCTGTGTAAGCATGTCGATGTATGTATTGATGTATCATGCAATGTACAGTGCATGATGCTAGATCTATGTCTATGTGTCTATATCCATGTCTATATGTCTATATCTATGTCTACGTATGTACGTATGTGAACATGTAAATATGTACATATATGCACATATGTACATACATACATATGCACGTATGTACATATGTATGTATGCATGTCTGTCTGTATGCTTGTGTATGTTTGTATGCATGTATGCATGCATGTAAACATGTAGGTAGGTAGGTCGGTCGGTCGGTTGGTCGGTAGGTAGGTAGGTAGGTAGGTAGGTGGGTAGGTAGGTAGGTAGGTAGGTAGGTATGTAGGTAGGCAGGTAGTCAGGTATGTAGGTAGGTAGGTAGGTGGGTAGGTAGGTAGGTAGGTAGGTAGGTAGGTAGGTAGGTAGGCAGGAAGGTAGGCAGGAAGGTAGGCAGGCAGGCAGGCAGGCAAGCAGGCAGGCAGGCAGGTAGGTAGGTAGGTAGTGCAACTATGCATGCGAACTGTGATGCACGTTGGATTTGCGCACATCCTTGCTGGAATGTAAACTCACATACATCTGCGGCCCATATAGCCGTGCGAAACCTCAATTCCCATACACGGCAAGAAAAGGTGTGCTGCATCGACCCTCGATGACCCTTGCAGGGTGTGCCGCATCATCGAATTTACGACTCCCTTCACACAAGCAACTCCCCCCAAAAAAGCCATTCCTGTGCATCATCCGTCTTCTCGTTCTTCTCTGTGAGGTAAGTCGGATCCACGGGGATCTTGACCGGGGGGTTATGGCTCCTCTGCCCTTGGTCCCTGCCTCAGTTCAGGGGGTTTGGGACTCAGGGATGGTCTGGCGAAGGCAGAGGCGCTCTCATGTAAGGATCAAGCAAGCCCTCCTAGACAATCTGGGGGCCTTACTAACTAGAATAGGGTTTGGGAGCATATTCTACTATAGTTATAATATAAGGAGCCCCCAAAACCCTCCTAGATACTATAGGGGCCTTACTAACTAGAATAGGGTTTGGGAGTATGTTCTACTATAACTATAATCAGGAGCCCAAACCCTCCTAGATACTAAGGGGCCTTACTAACTAGAATAGGGTTGGGGAGTATATTCTACTAGAATTATAATAAGGAGCCCCCAAAACCCGATTCTATTTTTGACAAACTGGGAGTGTCCACATGAGTAGCCCTTCGGAGGAGCCAGAGGCGTATCCAAAAACAGAGTCCTGAAGCAGTGAAAATGCCAGCCTCTTTTTGGGGGAGTGAAAACCGGCGTCCCATTCAAGCTAATGTGTAGGGTTTGGGCGCGACGGCTTAGCGCCGACAATCCCATCCCACCAGATCTGAGAATCTTTGACAATTCTAAAGGTCCAGCGGCCAACCCAAGTAACTTTGCCCAATCAACCGTCTTGAACCAAGTGACTGGCTTGAGTCTGGGGTTTAGGGTTTAGGAACCCGTAACCCCCTAAACCAAGACCGCCAAACCTGAACCCTGGACGCAGGTTCAGGTTCTTCTCAAGACAATGTCGAGCCCTCAGGACCACAACCATAATGAACGGCATCCAAGAGGAGACTCGTTCAGGTTAGCAGCTTATATGGGAGTTTCCGAGAATAGGGGGTGCCTAATTTTGGGGTCCTTATAGTAGGGATCCTACGAAACAGGGTGCTATAATAAGGTCCCCTATTTTCGGAAACTCTCATATCCGAAACCTAATACCACGCGGACTCGCTTCTCAACCTCGGTGATTTAGGGCTTAGTTAGCTGGTGTTTGGCCTTCGAGGGCCTGTTTCCTGTGTTGAAACCCTACTGTTCAAGATCCTTGTTGGGAACCCCTAAGTAAGCCGGGAACCCTGCACCCTAGACCGCCAGGAACCGCTATAAACCCCTTCGCAGCCTAGGCATAAACCCGATGTAAACCCCAAACCCTAAACCCCTTTTCAGCATGGATCGTGTGCCAGCGAACACACCTCAACAGCAGGGGCTTCTCGTTTAACGAGGGATGCAACCGGAGGAGTGACAGAAACAGAAGCATGAAGAAAGTACCGACAATCTTCCGAACTAGAAATAGAACGTAGTTGCTGGAACTCAACCCCTAAACCCTAAACCCCTATATAAACCCCTAAACCCTAAACCCTAAACCCCTGAACCCCGAAACCCTAAACCCTGAACCCCGAAACCCTAGCTTCCCCCACTTGCAAGCAAGGCACGCGGGGAGGAACCCTTTCCTGGGTCCATGTTCAGGATAGGGTTCAGGGTTTTGAGCTTAGGGTTCAGGGTTGGGGTTTAGGGTTCGGGGTTCAGGGTTTAGGGTTCAGGGTTTAGGGATCAGGGCCTGAAAGGAATTGTAGTAGGAGTCTTGAAATGAACCACTAATTCATTCTTTGCACACCCTTTTCCCAGTCGCAAGTCAATAGTTTCGGGTTCAGGCTTTAGGATGCCGAGGAACCCTAAGGGGTTTAGGGTTCAGATTTTTAGGTATTCCTTAGGGTTTTCTGGCTAATAAGAAGGTTCAAGGATCCATGTAGTACCCTTATAGCACCCTTGATGGGAAGACCATTTCTTTAGGGTTCTGGGGTTTAGGGATTATGGTAAGCTCCCATGGTTTAGGGAAGGTGTAGGGTTTAGGGTTTAGGGTCTAGGGTTTAGGGGTTTCGGGCAGGACCCTTTTCAAAGGAACCTGCATTCACCAAGCCAAGCTCGACCAAGTTTCCGGATCCCTTGGAATCGCCTTTCTCCGAGTCCCTCCTCCTCTCCGGCCTCTCGTCCACACGCCTTTCACATGGAGTGCTGTTGGGTTTTGGGGGGGTTTTGATGAGGGCTCCAGGATTCTAGGGTTAAGGGCTAGGGCCTGAAGGCTTTAGGCTTTAAGCCTTCGCAGCAGCGTTGTGTTGTTGTTTTTGAGTGGGGGTCGGCTAGATTAGAGGCCCTTGGGAGGAGTGCCTAGCAAGATGTGCTCTTCCCATACACAAGTCCATCAGGACCTGCAAGGTTAAATCACGTCCGGGAACCCAACAAGAGAGCCCTTCCATCGAGGACAATTCACCTGACAGCTTCGGTCCCTTCAATATGGAAGTCTCCGAACATAGGGGACCCCAATATAGTACCCTGAATAGTAGGATCCTCATTATAAGGACCCCAAAATAAGGTACCCCTTGATTTCGGAAACTCCCATATTAAGGCTTCGTGCTTTAGGAGGACTCCCATTCAGACTGGAACTGCGTCCACGCCTCTGCGATTGTGTGAGGGGTGAGGTTGACGCTCACTAGAGCGTGCTTTCATAGACGACATAGGCCCGATAATTTCTTTGCTGTTTTGTCGAGCATGGTGTTAGTACTGTAGCAGTTTAGTCTGCAGTGGTTCGCATTTGCTTGCGTGCGTTCTTCACAGGCTACTCCTTAAACTAAACACAGCCTAAACCCTATATCCTAGACCCTTCACCCTTTACAGCGTGCCCAGGAAGTTCCCGAAATCCTGAACTATCATAAGGAACCTGCTCTTTGGAAACCCCGCCTGATGCCCTTGTGGAAGTGCACGAAGACCTTGCTTCCTGCAAGACCGCTGCATATTTGCCCAAAGGCTCCATTCCAGTACCTTTTTAAAGGTTACCTTATAGGATCCTACATATCAACCACGAAAAGAACTACAAAGGAGCTTATATAGGTATTTATGGCTTAGGATTTAGGGTTAAGGGGTTTGGCTTTAAGGTCTCTCTGGTCCCCACCGCCGTGTATTGGCGAATCGTCGAGTCTGCAAAGGGAAGCGCTGTCGTTGTATGACGCCGCTTATGTAGGGGTTTAGGCTTTAGGGTTTTGGGTTTTGGGTTTAGGGTTCAGGAGTTTAGGGTTAGGGGTTAGGGGTTTAGGGTGCGGGAGTTTTGGGTTTAGGAGTTTAGGGTTCAGGAGTTTAGGGTTTAGGGGTTTACTGCATCACAACTTGTTAAGGGTTTAGGATTATTGGGATTTGCTTTCAGCAGCTATTTCCCGATCATGGAGTTGACGTACATCCAGATACCTCTCTGAATGTGTAGGAACCTTATAGCACCCTTTACGCCTTGTATAGCCTTCCAGACCCTATCCCGTAATACCGTTCTAAAACCAAAAAGAACCCCAAATCATCCAGAGGCAAACCTCGAGAAAATCTCTGCCACTTATCAGACTTGCCCACGTGTCAAAGTACCTAAAACTAAGCACAAGCTGATATACATCTACTACTCAGTCTGCTAAACATAAGTGCATAATTATTGGGTACAGTGGGCCCCTCGAGCTTCCGCACGGAGACGTGTCGAAGAAGCCCTCAAGAGCGGAAGGATACGGGATGTTGCAAAACCGCTCAGTGCACAGTCGTGGGAATATGAAGGACACCGGCACAAGATGTCACAAGACCCTATATAGAGGAGATGAAGCCGAGAGCTTCCCTGCCTTCGAAAGTGGCACCATAGCCCGAAGTTTTTCTGATGGTCCTGAATGAGACATAAGTGCACTTTACCGGGCTGCTGGGATCCACAAGAAAAGGGGACAATGACGATGCCAAACGTTGGAGACCAAAATGTAGACCTCTTGTGCTCACCGCAGTAACGCCTTTTGCAGCACGGCTTGAGGTGCCCGCCAGCGCCAAGGCAACTTCTGCAAGGCACAAGCCGTAAACCCTAGAACCCCAAACCCCAATATATCCAACCTCTGAACCGAAACGCTTGGCAACCATCACATTACCTGACGTGACGAAATTTGCCGCGCAGCCCCTCCGCTCCAACCGGAATCTCCCACTGGTCCTCAGCGGTAGAAACAACGGGTCTCGGGTCTCAGGGGTACCGGGTTCGGGGGTCCAAGGGCAGGATGCAGCTTTCCCAAGAAGCTCAAGGTGTAGGACCGTAGGAAGTGGGGAATTTCAAAACCGACTCAGAGACCTTCAGGCGATGGAATCCTTGTTCGAGTGGCCAGGATCTGGAATTTTAGGTTTTAGGCCGGATCATTGTTCGCGGTTTAGGATTACCAGCTTCCCGACAACACCCTTGGCCCGATTATCCGTAGCTTTATAAGAGGGAAGTAAACCACTCAACCAGATTTCCAGGAGGCAGATTCCCATCCAATCAGGTTCTATCCAGGAGGATAGCAAAGCAAAATCAAGGTTCGTTGATCTATTGAAAGCCACCCCTCACATGGCATGTCCCGGGAGGACGCCCAAGTAAGTATCAACGAAAGCACTGCTGCAAGCACTGAGAGGGTCCTCTTTTGAGATGACGGCCCAGGAATCCTGAACTAAGTCAAAACCAAGTTGCCTCAGTGGCATGGAAGATCATTTTCACTTTGATGTCCTTCAGCATTGCAAGCTCAGCACCAAACTCCCCCCCCCCCCCCCCCGGCCGTTGTTAAGCCTCACGCCCTCATCCTCAAACTACCATGTCAAACCCTGGGGCATCAAGCCCAAAACTCACTCTACATCCGAAACCCTACACTTTAGCCGAGAACTGGTTTCTGAGTCCTAAACCCTCAACTCCAAACGAAACATCCCCCAAATCCCTCCGACACGCCAGCCATCTGCCCACTCTGGAGCAGTTGTCCGAAAAAGGCTTCCGGTGCTCCCCGAACTGGGCTCTGTGTGGATGGGGCTCAGACTTCAGGGCTTCGATTTGGGACCGTTCTGATTCGTGCTGTCCTGTCTTTAGGGTCTAGGGCCTAGGGTCTACATAGGGTTTAAGACAAATAGGTGGGGGAGTGGCTTCACCCCTTGTCTGAGTAGAACCCTCCGGCCCCGCCCAAAACTGCTGGGTCGGGTCCTCGTCGCTTTCCAGCTCTTCCTTCCCGAGGTTGTAGATATAATCGAAGAGGAAATCGAGCACCTCGAAGGTTTAGGATGGGTCTTTAAGGGTAGCCCAGGGATGTTTTGGCTTAAATGTGAGTGGGGGTCCCGGTTTAACGTATACAAACCCTAAACCCTAAAGCCCTACACCCCAAGCCCCAAACTTATATAATGCATGAATGGGAGAATACCCTACACCCTATACACGGGAACCTCCCGGAATCGTCGAGCTCCTGGCCCTAGAGCCCCGAAACCCGTCGCTGCAGGGCCAGGGAAGGAATCCAGGCTTCGAGTGGTGCGTGTGTGTATATATATATATAGATATAAAGATATAGATATAGATATACTGACACATACGTTTCTATATGTGTATATATCTACATATATCCATGTAGAGAGAGATGGAGAGAGAGCGAGAGAGAGAGAGAGAGAGAAAGAGGCAGGCTTTTTGCTTTAAGATCCCGGAAGGCTATAGGGGCAACGGGTTGCGGCTACCATAAATCCTCATGTAGCCTTGACCTAGCGTGTGGTGGCTCAGACCAACTATGCTCTTCGGGATTTCAACGAGGGTACCTGAGATCAGGGTCGGGCTTGCAGCCCGGGTCTGTCGCTATGAGCCCAAAGGCTTGATTCTACGAAATTTTGTGGGCTGATCCAGCTTACTCTGTGCTAAGCCTTGTGCCGCTTCGCCACATGAATAGTCACCTTCCAACTCTTCCGAGCACGGGTTTTGGTCTGTTGTGGTAGGGTGGAACATCGAACACCTACACCTACACATGGTGCTTTCTTATCTTGGAATGCGATCTAAGTTGCCTCTGTCGAGCTCAGCTTCATCCACTTGTAGAGGTCGAAGGACTTCAAGTGTTTCTCCTTCTTGTTCCGGTTCCCCTCCTCCGAGCCTGAGATCCGGAGGCAAAGGTCGGCTCTCCATGCAGCGACCGGGTGCTCCAAGTCTGGCAACCGGGCGCAGCCTAGAGCCCAAAAAACCGCCAAGAAGCTGCTTTCCATCTTGTGGAAGCCGTTGTCTTCACCCTGATTCCACATATCTTTGGTGAAGCAGAAGATCGTCCGCAAAGCCACGTTGAAGAGGCTAACCTTGGTTTTTGGCTTAGTTGGGGGCTCAGGCGTCTTGGAATACAGCTCGCACCCTATTTATGTATCTGCCACAGTCTCTCTCTCTCTCTCTGTCGTTTCTGTCTCCTTTTCTTAACTGTTATTCGGTTATGGGCTTGGCTGGAAGGTGATGCTTTTTGCTTTCAGGATTTCAGGAGCCTCTGTCACAGCAGATGCTGCGGAGTGCTCTCCGAAACGTCGCGACCTCTTGCCACCACATATGTTATATGTCTATGGAAATAGACGGATAGACAGACAGACAGACCGACAGATTGATAGACAGATACCCTGGCTGCCTGCACCGATCTTGCTAGCGAGCCGAAATGCACAGCATACCATCCGATGGGCTGCATTTATTTACGCCGCTCTTCTTTCAGACGTGGTCAGTTTCATGGGATTCAAAGTTGTAAGTCGCACTGAATCATGCGTCAGTAGAACAAAGAACCCGGTCAAAGAAGAATTAGGACCCGAGTTGGTAGCATGACTGCACTACAACAGAGCCCTAAGCTTTGCAAACAATTGTAGTCACACCGGCTTTCAGGCGGGCTGCGTAGATCAGGCAGCGGATCAAGCCGCGATCTGCGAGGGATTCGGAGTAGCGGACGACAAGGGAACGGTACCTGATACCAACGGAAGGCCACAAAGCCAACATCTCAAGCCGCATGCCCTTATAACTTTTGCAACGCCCTACAACCTAAGCCCAAGTTCGATGACTTCCCTAAACCCTAGACTTCCTAAACCCCCTAAAACCCAGAATAATACACCCTAAGCGTACCCCGCCGTTTGGTTACGTCTATTCTGGTCATTCCGTGATTTTTCAGTCTCTGTTCCTGTTCAGGGGCTGTGATCGATTTTGTCTTCTGGATGAAATGTCTGCGATCGTACTTATCCTGGAGTGCTTCCTTGTTTGATTATGTGTATGCTTTTCCGTGATCACTTTCTATCCGGCAGTGGTTCTGCAAAGGGTTTTCGGTCACAGGTGCCCGTGATTTATTCAACCTTTGTGATCATAAATCCCTGTGATTAAATCATGTAGGGGCGTAAATAATTAACTATACTCATTTGGGGGTTCCTTACCATGACTATAGTATACTGGGCCCCAAAACCCTGTTCTAATTATTTAAGCCCCTATATATATATATGTATATATATATATATATATTATTTCTCGGCTGATCAATCCATGACCTGAGATCACGGCTTTACCACGGGCTGACAAACCCTGACCAAAATCAGAGGCCACCAATCCCTGGAGCAACAGCTCGGGCTATATTAGGTTTAGGGTTTTAGGGTTTAGGGTATAAAACGAAGGTAGCCGAAAGGCGGCTCTATATCTCAAGGGACTTTGGAAGCCTTTCAACAAGACCCACCCAGTCATCCGAGTCCAGACATTCAAGTGGATTTCCTGGGGTCGAGGCCCCTAAACCCTAAACCCCAAAGGGCTCAGCAAATTAGAGCTTAGGGGTTCAGGGGCTAACGTGAACCCCAATTTTTTCTCGCTCTAGCTCGAAGCTCTGGCATCCTGTCTCATGATCTGTGTCATTTTCGAATAATGTAGGAGCCTGATTAAGAAACCCTGGGCCTTTATTAGGGTTCTTATATGAACCCTAAAATATTGGCTTATAGGGCCAGGGTTGTTTTAAATCAGGTTCCTACATTAAGCAACAAATAACCACCGTGTTAATGATGTTCTTACTAATCAGAATACGACGGTAACAATGACAGTAAGTGCTTATAACGTCATATAGAGATCTGATCTACGTACCCAATGGGAAATGAAGAATGATCCAAGTTGGCACCTGCTTTATGATGAGGAACTTTGCGCACAGTTCAGGGTTCCTAAACCCTAAACCCTGAACCCTAAAGGGTTTTGCACGGGATTCAATTTTTCAGACGCCAGAGCCAGCGAAGCGGCCTAGGCCCTTTTTAACTTTTGGAAACCAAAAGCTGAAGCGTTTGGGTTCCAGGCTTCAGAGGCTTAGGGCTTTAGGGGTTTAGGGGTTTAGAGCTTTACCTCAGGGTTCGGGGCCTTAGGGCTTTCAGCACTCACTCTCGGACATGCCTAGGCGAGGTTCCTGGTACGGGGCGGAAGCTCGTTGGCTCAAGGATCGGCACGTATCACCGACCCAACAACATTAACCAACTCTGGCTCACAGCTTAGGGCTTTACGGGTTTAGAGCTTTGTGGGTTTAGCCTCAGGGTTCGGGGGTAGCAGGGTTCAGGGTACTGCCCAGCTCACCTGCCCTTGCTTTGAGGTTCGTGGCCTGCTGCTTATTGCCCATACCCTGCCTACACCGGCACAATCAAATAACCCAAGCCCAAACTGTTTAACGACTTCTGCTGGCAGGAAGCGTCAGAATCACATACACGCCGACAAAGGCTTTCACCAGCATCAAGATAGTGGCCTCGCAAGCCGACTGCTCCAGCACCAAAAATGGAGCAGCAAGCACGCGCATCACCATCAAAAAGCAACGTCAACAACGATACCGAACATATATTTACTGCGAAACAACAACAACCACAACCAACAACAACAACAACAGCAGCAGCAACAACAACAACAACAACAACGACAACACCAAGAAAAGCGACAACAACAACAACAACAACAACAACAACAACGACAACACCAACAAAAGCGAAAACAACAACAACAACAACAACAACAACAACAACAACAACAGCAGCAGCAGCAGCAACAACAGAAACAACCACAACCACAACCACAACCACAACAAGCAACGACAACGACAACGACAACGACAACGACAACAACAACAACAACAGCAACAGCAACAGCATCAGCAACAGCAACACCACAACAACAACAACCAAAAAACAACAACAACAACAACAACAACAACAACAGCAGCAGCAGCAGCAGCAGCAGCAGCAGCAGCAGCAGCAGCAGCAGCTGCAACAACAACAACAACACCAACAACAGCGACAACAACAACAACAACCACAACCACAACAACCAACGACCACCACAACGACAACGACAACGACAACGACAACGACAACAGCAACAACAGCAACAACAACAACACCAACAACACCGACAACACCGACAACGACAACGACAACGACAACAACAACACCGACAACACCGACAACGACAACGACAACCACAACGACAACGCCAACGACACCGACAACGACAACAACAACGACAACGACAACCACAACAACCACAACAACAACAACAACACCAACAACACCGACAACACCGACAACGACAACGACAACGACAACAACAACACCGACACCGACAACGACAACAACAACGACAACAACAACTACAACGACAACACCAACAAAAGCGACAACAACAGCAAAAACAACAAAAACAACAACAACA